GGCACATAAGAATGAAGTGAACCGCTCAGCATCGTTAGGGCAGGCACTAGGCTCCGATGGCTAGGCCACGTTTTGCGTATGCCAACCCACGGAATCCCACGACGTGCGTTGTTTGCGCGTCGGGGGTGTGGATGGAAGAGGAGGAGGGGTGTCCACGCGATGACTTGATCAGGAGCAATGAACGCCCTTACTTCGAAATTGGCCTCTGTTGGTTCTGGACCGAAAGACGAGAAACATGTGTGTCTGGATACACTTCTTGCTAAGGCTAGGCTGCGACTTCAGTGGTGTTTGTGTTGCGAGTGCTTTTAGCCCTTCCGCCTATCGCTTCACATTCCCCTCCAAACAAGATCTCAGTTCCTACGCATAATATAACATTTTGCGGCTGCTAGCTGTCCCGAACGACTGTCATCTGTTACTGGTGACCTAACTGGCGAGCTTCTGTTGCGTTTATTTTCTTATGTAATGCGACACCATAGCTGAGGCGTTTACCACTTCTAGCTAGCGTGTACAAGAATGATAACACCGTACCCCTCAAACATTGATCACTTTCTCTACCATATTGTACGCAATCTGTGCCACATGCCAGTTAACCTGTGCTAAGGCTCGTTGGCCACGACCACTTGGTTTAACATACTATTACAAGCACTTGAGTTTGCATAAAAGACCGCTCAACCTTACAGTTCATTTAGTCATAAGGGTTCTGTATTATTTGTCAGCAGACGAGTCCGTAGTTTATTTACTGTAAAGATGGATTCTGTGGACACGATCTTCATGGAGTCCTCACCAGTGCACTTACCAAAGTGCTCTTAGCTCGCTTAAACACACGGTCTAGAGTGAGCAGTGGCTAACTGTTTAAAAGATAATGAATCGGAAGGAACTAAGAATTGAAAATGCGATACATTAGGCTAGATACCGTTTTTCTACTCTTTTCTATCCCCTCTTTAGGAGCTCTGTCGGGTCCAGCGAACCGATTAGCTGATGTTCTTTCGGGGCAAATTGTGAGCAAATAAACGCCAAGTACCTAAGCACTGATGAATGGCAACGAGTAACTAGAAAAAGCGAGTGTTCCGCGTACGACGCCGAGGGACTCACTAGGGGGTCCACCTGTAGGACTCTCTGTATTTCATCTGAGGAGAATAACGTGAAGCTGTTGTCACACAGTGGCGTTTAGAGACTCGAGATACCCAAATTCTCTACTATGTTCCCCGTGGAATATAGTGCTAAATACGCTTCTCCCAATCGTAGATTGCAGTTCAAGCCCGTTGGCGAACCTAAACGGTTGGACATTGTAAGGCGTCTAGCAGACATTACGCGGACACAAGTCATACCAACTAATTGAACACGGCTTTTCTAGCTTCGAATAGTTTGTGATGTAAACCGCAACTGGATCATTCCTACTCGCACCTTCGCAACCAAGCCCAGATTAGGCGCGAAAGCATACTTCCATTGACTCAACTGTGCGCCATTTCAGCCCACAAAACACTCCGATGCCAGTACAGTGTTGAGTCGTTGCAGCCTATTTCAACGAACATTAGCACGAACGTACGGAATATGTGATATAAAGCGAAACCTCCAATTGGACCACCTCTCTAATTTGATAGTTTTATTTTTCATTACTTTAACGTTCACCATGTAACCCATTGATCATAACCCTGTGTGTTAACCCCTTCTGTATGCTGAGGCTGATGTTGCATTCTTGATGCATCTTCACCGCAGTTGGGCTAAGCCAACTTAAACTAGGTGTTTTTAAGCTGGCTAACTTTCAGTCCACTGGATTTGGTTTGTTCTGCCTACCTGAATAATCTTCTAGTAACTGGCTCCGTTGCTTACATTAATTGCGCTTATCTTCCATAACTTTGTTGCCTTTTTAGCATTTTATAGTAAGTTGTGGACATTTCTTACTTATCGCAGATTCGTCGCTAACCAACTTAGTTCATATGGTAATTTAGGGAAGTGTTATGCAACCGTGTCTGTATGCATTATTGGATTTATTTTATTTCATCTTGTCATTTCAACTGAATGGCTGTTGATTGATATCCCCAGTGTGGCTGCGCTTGATGTGCATGTTGACAAGGTGCCTACCTGTCTATTACCCACTACCTCGTCCACCTGGCTCCAAGGGACAGTTGGTCGTTGCTGGAGGGGACGGGGTGCACGATCTTTGTGGCCGTGCTAGGCTCGAAGTGTGGTTCCATGCACCCAGTGTGGAGCGGACTACGGTCCAGCCACCGCTTTGTGTGCGCTTGATCCCCTAAATACAGCGTGCTTGTGTTTGCCTGTGAAGGAGTGTGGGCCGGCTCCGTTGATAAAATATGGCTCACATCCACATGCCTCCCGGTCTTATTCCTTCGGGTTTACACTGGATATGGGGTGTGTGGTTGGAGCTGTGGGTGGTGCACCGCAAGCCACCCAAGGTCCATCTGTAGGTGCAGGCGTCCTGTGGCTGGCCATAGTGACAGGAATATCCTAAACCTGATGCTGCCAACCATGATAACCACTTCATGTGAGCCAGTAACCTTGAGGATCACAATTCTATCTTGTAATCTGTGGGCGTGGGTTCTAGCCTGTGTAAGAACCGGGCGACCATCGCAGTATCCTTAGCCCTCCTGAGACTGGTGGTGATTGCACGGCAGCGAAGCCTCGATACAGCATACATGCACAGTGCGGGATGTCCATTCCTCTGACCTTGAGGGCTCAACTCATGGAGGTTTTACTGCAGCGGTGTCCAAACTTTTCGCAAGGAGGGTCACATTTTGTGAGTTTAAAGAATGTCGGGCCATATTAAGATAACAACAAAAAATTTCAGATGTAAATTTTTATTGCAAGTTTTTAATGGGAAAGCTGCAACTAAGAACTTGAGATCTGCATCTTTTGTTTAAGTTAAGACCCCTTTAGTAGAGGTAATAGATTGACTTCCTAGTTAGCTAAAATGAAACAGTCCGTCATTGCTTTTTGTCAGCATCTGACGCTATGAGATTTCGTACTTAAAAGATCCTTACTTTGTGGTAAACTATATAATATTCCCTGTACGAAAAAATATCCAAGCTTGTATTTCTTGATGATGCTGTGGGACAGGTTAAATTTTAGCGCGCGTCACATTTCGCACGCGGGCCGAAGTTCGAACCTCTGTTCTACTGCATCTCCTTGGTAAGCAAATCGAACAGAATGCAAAACCTCGGATAGACCCTAGGGACAATGAATTGATGACTAAGCACGCTCCTTGCCTTGCGGAAATTGAAAACCGCTATGGATGTTCGTAAAAAATTTGTAGTACCAATGCACCTGTGGATTCATCATCCGAACCAAAGATCATAATGTCAATGCCACAAGCTCCCCAATGTGCTACTAAAATCATCTGTGTATCACTCTGCAGGGTGTTGCATAATAGACGTCCTGGGAGGATAATGTGCATTTATCTAGTCAGGGTTATTATTCTGACCATAAGAGACAATAATGTGCACGTTTATCTCAACGCAACACTTCTATCGGCGTATCAAGCGGTTATAACCTATAGTATAGCTTTGGAAATGGATAGCGATGCGTGTTGGCTATGTGCACTAACAGAGCACTCCCGTCACGCTGCTGAGCCAGTCTTCAGGCCGTACCACGTGCGCCAATGGGTATAATGAGACATGGGGATCTTAGTCGGCACAGGAAAAGGAACTGACCCACTCAGCACCGTTATTTCACGCACCAGGCTCCGATGGCTGGGCTACGTGTTACGCATGCCAGCCCACCGACTCCCACGACGTGCGTTGTTCGCGCGCCGGGGGTGTGGATGGAAGAAGAGGAGGGGTGGCCAAGCGATGACTTGGTCGAGAGCTGACCTCGGTTGGAGCATTTTGGCTCCCTGGTTGGAGTCCGTAAGACGATGAACACGTTTGGTTGGACACACTTGCTGGTATGGCTAGGAGCCGACCTCAGTGGCGTTCGTGCTGTGAGTTTCTTCGTCCCCACCCCCATCCCTCTTAGCCTCCCCTTCCAACCACGGTCTCATTATTTAGCCTTGTATAATTTTGCATAGCAATTTTTTGATGCACAGTAGCCGGCTGGTAGCTCACCAGAACGATGCCCGTCCGTTACCGGTAGCTCAGCCGGCTTGCACCAGTTGCTTTTTTTCTCCTTTATTCTATGTATTGCGGCACAGTAGCTGAGGTGTTCCCCACCTCTAGCTAACGTGTATGGTGATGATGATGGTGATCTTAGTTATCGAAATCTTACCGAGGGCCATTCAAATACAGCAGCCCAGTGACCTATGTGTGGTCGCCCAATGTACCTTACACTTCTTAATGTGACTACTGTATACTTTTGACAGCACGGTACTGTTCAACGACAGAGAGATACATGGAGACCTTCATTCGGCGATCAGACCAAACAGTTGGACTGTGAATCATACTGCCTAGGAAAATATCGTCTATTAACTTATATCTACTCGCTATATCGCTATATATAGCCCAACCTGCTACGGCGACCACCTGTCCAAGGTGACCACATTTGTCGGTCCCTTGAGTTGTCGCTTTACAGGTTTGACTGTATCTTGCACATATGTCCTTTCACAATATGATTGCTACAATTGTAACTTGGAGACTACTCAACAGTTTGTATTGCAAACGAAAATGAAAACTAAACGATACTGCAGGTTCTAGTCAGAAAAAACGAAGGTAAAAGAGTAAAGGCGAGCATACTCCTGTCTGCCGAACTACCCTAAGTTAGATTTGTTACCTAAACAATTCACTGTTCCATCCATCAAGGCGCCGCATAAGCGATCCACACATCGACAAATGACCACCTTACAGCAGCCCCGAAATGATCAGGTTAGGTTACAAATGTGACTTTGAATAACAAAGAACAAATTTACTTGTCGTTGTGGTAATAAAAACCAAAAGTAAACGAAACTTATACAAAACAGTCAAAACAAAGTTAACTTCCTGAGTACAACACCACCGACACCAAGTAGTCGTAGTAGGGGTAATCTTCAGACGAGGTGTTGATTAACCATTTGGGTGAACTGTCGTTCCAGGTCTTCAGCACAAATGAGACCATGAGTTGCGTGCTCTAGGTTCATACTCAATTCTTTAACCTTCTGGAAAAAAACACATCTGCTTTTCTTTGGTCGAGTATTTGAAGTACGAGTCCGGCGGTTAGCGAACCACGAGGCAACCTTTGAACAAGGGATAAAAATATATAGCTCTTGTGATAATAATAGGCGTGGCAAAATGTTACACAAAAGAGATCACAGATAACACACATTCGATACTAGTGGGCCACGACTGCACGTAGGACGGGTTACAGATAGACCTTCATCAGCCCCCTAGGAATTTACGTGAGGATTAGTCATCTCAGGAGCCGATCATTTTACAATAGGGACCTGTAGCTACATGACACATTTCAGCAGGTCTCTAGACGCAAATGTAGTTTTTCAAAGTTCTTGATCGGTTATTAGTGCGAGTGAAAGGTGGCCCCTAATTAGACGATCTGTCCTAAATTTGATCCTTGAGAAAGTGATATTGCAGCTCGTTGCTTACATGAGATCGACTGAAGGCATGGCGTCTACGCGGTCGATGAAGTTAGACTAATATACTTTACATTCACAGGGACACAGTGAAGCGAATTCCCGCCCCACGCTGCAATTCTAATAACTGGTCAAAGGCATTTCAACGGTGAATCGTTAATGGCCCTCGCTTTCTTGGCTGGTTTTCGACCAGCATTACTTCAGTTGCTCGGTTAAATATAACTAAATGATGTTCAAGATAGGCTCATCAAGCATCGGTGACGTAAATTCAGTAGCCTAGAAACCTAACAAATTATGTGTGCCTAACAGGAGGTATGTAGGTCGAGAATATTTATTAGAGCAGTATAGACATCCAACTGAATAGTAACCTAATGCTCGTGATTCACTACAAATGGTTACTCCGTGATAGTTATAACTTTGCTGGCATACACAAACTTCTTAGTTTTCTGTAATGGTTTTCTTGCAGAGGTTTCGTTACAGATCGAAGTAACAATCTCATTGCGTCATGGTAGAAGGTAAGCACATTGTAGAAAACTGTCATCTGATTTGCAACCAGGGCATCGCGTTAAGAAATCTAATTGCTAGCGATTTCGCCGCTCAGTGATAGACGTCGCTCTGATAAGGGAATGAGCGGACTGGTAGAGCATGAGTCCATGATCCCCAAACCGGTTGTTTGAAACCTACAAAGTAGGACCTACCTTAAGACTGGATGAGCTGGTTTAAGCAGATAGGCTGGTTGCGGGTAAGTTAAGGATGGCTAAGTGTGTCGTGCACTAACAGAAAGCGTGTGAAGATCCGCGTAAAAGTTTATGTTTGGCATTTCACGCTAGGCTTAATTATGGCACAAGCAGATGTGCCAGAATACGGGTTAAGAAAGAATTTCGTCAGGCAGTTAGGCCACTTGTCATCATAAGGCGGAAAATAAAACAGGCCAAAGATTAACGAAACGCTAAACACAATCAAGTGACCACATCTAATCGCACTGGTATCGTGTAATCCCAGCGGTGCGTGCAAGTTAGAGGCAATAAGTTAAAGCACTCAAGGGTCTTTACTAAGTTCCACCTGTGGGATGTGCATGTGCCGCTGAGACCACCTTGCATGGTTGATTTCCACGGCCGAGCCTATGAGAAATCTTCGACATCAACTGGTATGGCTTTCCTACACCTATAAAGTGGATTGTAATTTGTTTGAAGATACTCGAAGGAGAAGCTTCTTTGCTAACTTAACCATCTCATGATAATCAGAATCGTCACATTCATAATCTGACGCTCAGGTGTTTCAATATCGTGTAAAAAACGCAGAAGTTGCTTACCTGTGCGACAGTAATTCCACCAACTTCGGCCAACTTTTTCTTTTCTTCCATTGAGGGGTATGGGTTATCGATGTGACTATAAAACCAACGATCCATAATCTCAAGCGCAAACTTGTTCAGCAACCGATGACGAGTTGGGCTGTGTGCCCCATTGCCTGAATCATCAGAGCCCCAGAAAGCGAACTGCTGCGTTCCCTCGGGCTCATCGGCATGTCCCATATGTGAAACTGCTGCCTCACCTGTGACCGCACGATCACTTAGTCTATCGCAAAGAGCAGATCTCAGAGTGATATCAGTAGTAGCAGTTGCATACCTGTTTGAAATGATGTTCGGAGGCGCATTTTCATTTTGATACTTTCTTTTCCTTCCTCGTTTATCACTTTTATTGTACTCAGAGGGTTCAGTACGCCAGTCAGCTGACTTCGTCGTTTGCGAGTAGTTTCTAACGCTGAGTGAGGGAGTTGCAGAGACCGTCTGAACAAGGCTCTTTGTTGGGTACGGGTTATGAGATTGCTGGGTAACTGTATGGAATGCTGACCCCGATAAGCTGAAACTCTGGGCCGTATTGGATTCCGTCACCATGGAGGGCTCTGTATATTGCGGCAGTGAGGTGAAAAGTGCGCGCGTTACCAAAGGGACTTGTGTTTTCATTAACCCACAACCACACAGCTCATGGTCAAGTAAGCCGACCTTTTCTGGACTGGAGGTCGCTGTGGTTTCCAGGTAAGAGGCGCCAGCATGCGTATCTGAAAGCTCAGACTCCGAATTGAATGCTATCATCCAAGGCCAAGGTCCTTGATGTACACTAGAGGAATCTTGGCCATAATCGTTTCGTGTTGTCAAATCGTCGGCGGTCGTGTAGTTTACTGGAAGGAACTGATTTTCGTTGGCCTCTGTCCGCAGTCCTTCTACTGGCGAAGGAGAATTGGGGATACCAAATACACCACGATTCTGGCAAGAAACAACCAAATTTTCCAACAATGGCTGATTTTGTTGCCAATAGTGGCTACTTAGTTTCCCAGACCAGCTGGAAGGGACAGCACTGGTAGGAACCGCAAATATGTTCATGCAGACATCAGAAGAGTTATTAAGTGCCAATGGTTGCTCGGTCATCTGGTGAGCACTCCAAGTTGCGTAATCGTGGAGCTGTAGTGTAGAATGATTACCGCTTGGCTTAGTTGCACCGGGTAACAATGTCCCTGTCCAACTATTGCAGTCAGTTCCATGACCATACTCGCTTGTCCTTGTCTCACCGCTTTCGAGTTGACTTTCCCAAGAAAGGGCTTTATCCAAAGAAGTTTCAGAAGGCAAATCCATACTGTCATCGTTGCCTGCTGAAGGTGAGGGCAGTTGTTGAGGCGTGTGGCGTTCTTCTGGAGTTCTCTGGGATTCATTGCTAATCGAATCAACTGCCGCTCTTGTCTCGTTCACTAGATGCTTCGCTGATGCTAGAATACTGTCAGGGTTTAGAAGTACGACAGGACGATGCTGAGGAGATTCGGCCTTGCAGAAAGGTGAAGAGCCAGTTGCCGACGAGAATTGATTTTCGACAGCATGGGAACTAATTCCAGATAAACAGCGTCTGTTGAATGGATGAGAACATACACTTTACAGAAATTTTCGCAATTTGACAAGAAGTACGTCTGATTATACATCTGCATGGATCCGTGAGAGGGCATTAGTATAGTGCACTTGTTCGATTAAACTGTAAGTCATGAAAAACTACTTTACTCATGAAGTACGGTTCGAGACAACCCGTGGCTTCATACGTGAGTACCCTTAACATCGGCACCATTGAACCATACTAAGGCTTTGGTGCTCAGAACCAGGATATAAATTTACCAAAGTTGGAGCGAGATAGGATCCACAGTGTGATCACAGATAACTTATTATTGAGTGTACGATGATCTAAAGCATAAGGTGCATGCCTCGTTCTCCGAGAGGTGTCGGTTTGAATCTGCGTAGGTGCGGCGACCTCGCGGCATATCCAATCCGGGCGAGACTGGTGGTTGCATGGCAGCGAGGTGTCCGTACGGCATACCGACGAACAGGTGAAGCTATCCTTTTCTTGATGACTGGATGAAGATAGCGCAGGCTCCGTACAACGGATCTCCCTCCTCTTCAAGTGAATTAATTACAAACGGAACTCGCCTCTCTAACAGTATAGTAACATTAAGAGTAGGTACTAGCTGCGATGCACAAATTTATTATGAGATCAAGAGCAAAAGCAACGGAGTTAATACCAACGTTGATGCTCAACCAGTGCACGTAATTTCTACGTACGCCCATAGCAGGCTGTTCAAATGTTTTCGTACTTATCGTGCTTGATAATTTTCTTGTAGAGGTTTCCCACTGATTGGTGCAACAGCACCCTATGTTGCTCCAGTTTGGAGATCGCCATGCCCTAGGATTTCTTCATGCAAACGCTCACGGTTTCGTTCCAAATAAGCCTCTGACATAAGGCATCAGCAGTATGCCGGCACACAGATTCGACACTTCGCTGTCGCGCAACCACCAGTCGCATATGGGCCGAGGATAATGCAAAGGTCGGTCAGTCCTTACGAAGCCTCGAACGGGCGCACTCGTATTACAAAGCAGGCTTGTGATCCGTAGGGCTACGGGCTGGCAAGCCTTCGACATGAAGAATGATGCGATCCGTTGACCAAAAAGTATGGGGAAAATCTCATGAACATTACAGCATAATCATAAAGTAGATGCATTCCCGCTTATTTCCGGTTGGGTAAGTATCAGCGATCCACCGAGTGAACAATATTTCGTGCAAACAAACCGAGTTTATGACCAGTCTCGCCTTGGTAAGGTTACTAGTCAATTTTTAAAAATCATGTTGACCCTGTAATTTGCTTCACCTTGCATGCAACAATAATTTCACGGGCTGTCTGTAAACAGCCAATGAGGCTAAGCGAAAATTCTAAATTCATAATGCTCTTCTTGCTTGCCATTTTGAAGAGGGGAAATGGGAAAGCCTGCATATTATCACAAGCCGGTCTTCGTTGACACACTATGTGTTCTGCATTACAGCTGACAAAATACTCAGTTACTGCAACCAGTTCACCAAACCAAGGAGAAGCACCGGGAAGCACCGATAATGCGTATCACATGTGTTCCTGTGGGGTAGAATCCGCGAGCCGACTATAAGTAGTCGACGGTCAGGATCATCACGTCCCGAAGGAGAAACGGGAGTCGCAATGACTAAGTGGTCGACCTGATGTGGCTCTGCCGCATCCCCTTTGAAATATAGTCCAAAACGATAAAGTCACTACTTGTCGAACAACAAATACACCTAAAACTTACTGCTGTTATCTGCTTTTGATAGCTTCGATACGCTCAGCCGGGAGCCAGCAGCTTCGTGATATACAATAAGCAGCGTTTGCAAGTGATGGGGCGGCGAACTGACAAGCGGCTTGGTTAGATCCACCTGCTTGACACTAGAACTGCACACAGATTCTTAATCATAAATATGAAAGACGCCGTTTACCGTTCAGGTAAGACTGCAATAAAAAGACAATTCCGTAAGCGCTCTTTCTTGAGCGGATCGTTGAGTCAAGCATTGATAATACCCATCGAGTCACACCCTAGTCAAGCAATTACGGCTCATATATCATGCACAAACGGTTCCTAACATACCGGTTCCGTGAAATAAACAAGAAAGGAAATCCGAGATATGGAAGAAGGATGGTGACTTGAATAGAGGATAACACTAATGCGTAAAGGGAAGTACAGGAAAGAAAATAGAAACATGCGGATTCGAATAGTGCAGGAGAAGGGGAAGGTTTTGTTTTCCAACCGAAGAACATTTAACGGACAACGAAAAACCCTAACCAGAGCTTCCGTGACCATATCCCTGTCCGCACGAGTGAGCAAAATGTGTCTGATTGAGTGACCGTTGGAGCTCCCTGAGTGACCAGTTTTTGTGCCCCCGGTCGTCGCATTTGGGCACATCTTGGACAACTTTTGTTCACTCAAAGTTATTTTCAAACCAACCCTTAACATGTACCTTGAATGCATTTTTCTTAGTTGCAAATACCGTCAACATTAAGACGAAATCGATTCCCAAATTGTGAGTACGCAATAGTATAGCCGTTAAGCTAAACCGAAAATGTTTTCAAGTGACCAAAATTCGTCTCAAGTGGGATGACATTTGGTCACTCAGGATCTTATTTTTAATGCAGCCTTACCATATAAGTAAATGCATCTTTCTGTTTGCAAACGCCATCAATATAAAGCAGAGTTCGATTTCCAAATTGTAGGTACACAATACAATAGCCGTTAAGCTAAACCGAAAGTGCTTTTGAGTGACCAAAATTTGACCAAATGGGACGGCCAGGGGCACAAAAATTGGTCACTCAGGGAGTTCCAATGGTCACAAGCGCAGAGTAAAAGCACGCTTTTCTTAATAAGTAACGCCTTTTAAGCAAAGAACGGTGATAAATATTACAAACGTGTTTAGCGGCATACATGGACATACCATGCCATTAATTTTCTTGTTAACTTTCTGCCTCTGTGAGTGACCAAAAACACTCCAAAATGGGACTACTGGCAGTCCATCTCTGCGGACAAAGATTCTCTGGAAGCCAGTCCCCGCACTCCATGGCGCACCACCCGAGATTCCAGTTTAATCTGGTCAAAGCAAGATTTACTCAGCTCTAGGAATGACCACGAAAACAGATAACTTGGCCGAGCTGAATAGCCATGAAAAGTCCGGGTCAACCTTCCAGTTAGCTTACGGTCAGTGAATTCCAGGTTTCCTCGAAACCTTCAGTAGTGAATTGCATGCAACCATAATCCGGGGACGCGCTTTGATGCATCCGTCTCTACAAACTCCGACCAACCTAGTATACAGTCGTAAAACACTCCAGCTCCCTTTTTGTCCCGGATGAGGCAGCGCTGGCTATCCGGGACGCAGTACTCCAGAAAACAGCTGTTAAAGTGATATCGCGTCAATATACCGAAGGAAAAACATATTAACTATAACATACGGAACCCTTACCTGTCGCCTTCTTCCACTTGCCGCCCGAATGTACAGTCGACGAGTGGAGGATTCTTAGATCAATCTGATTGGAGACATGTGAGGGTTCAATTCCATCGGTCGCATAACTCGAAGTAAAACAAGCTGCTCCAGCAGTAATAAAGTAGAGCAGTCCTAGAGTTTAGCTAAGACATGCTAAATCGCCTGAGGGCTCCAGAAATATCCAGTGTTCCAGTAATTCCTACCATCAGAAAACAAGGGAGGTCATTCACATGGAACATGAACAGCGGCGGTCCAAAGGCAGAGATTTGTGAGATGCCGCTACAAATAGCATGTCTAAGTAATATGTTGCGACCCACGCGTAACAACTGCTCACTTCCATCCGAAGATACATGCACCCAGTGAAGAGCGTGATCAGGTACCATGAGTTCAGATTTACGATGACCTCAAGTGATGTATCATGTCAATTACTTTCGAAAAGTCAACGAACAGCAGGTCCGATGTGTGGTCATTGTACACTGCATCAGCCCAACTCTCACCAGATATCATCTTATTCGTCAAAAATAAAAATCCCATCCGAAATCAGTGCTGTGCACTGCTGAATAGATTGAAACACGTCACGCAACTCTCCAACCAATCTCTCACCAGTTTTTAAGCAGTTTGACTACTATGGCAGTCAGACTGACTGCCATCTAACTGACAGGCGGACACCTGTCGCCATTTTTGGTATTGGGAGAGATGATAGCTTCCTTCTATTCAGACGGTAACATACAGCTGTCAAATGATTCCTGAAGTACCATTGTGAGTGGACAACTTAGTTACGCAGCCAACTGATGTAGCAGCTCCGGGGGACTTAAATCAGAGCTTGGGAATTTAAAAGAGTTCCGCCCTTGCGGCAGATTTTGGTTTCTGTTAACGTTCGGAATGGCCCGAACTCTTTAAACCAGTCCAACGCCTGTCAACTAGGTCCCACGTAAAAAAAACAGCTGCACACTGCCCAATAAATATACAGCGCTTATAGCGGTCAGGAGAAGCATAGGGCCCGTCGTAGTAACGTAGCTGCCACAACGACGACAAGTAGGTATTTGAGTGTCGCCATCAGTGCAATTCTGTCGGAATATACATTGCAGTTAACGCGATACAAATTGGACGATAAGACGTTGTGATCTGATCAAGTGAAGTAACAAGTGGGCGATCAGCTGTGTGTACCAAGATTTGAGCAAAGACGTGTTGGTAGAACATTGCAGCGAAACCTTCAATTTGATCACCCTACTAATTTTGTCGGTTTATTTGCGCAACTGGATCATTCCCACTCGCACCTAATACTTGCTTATGCTAGCACCCGGAGGCGGGTGTAGGGTTTTCCGCCTAAGGCGGCTTATGACAGGGGGCTGTATTTTTGTACTGTTGGTTGTTAATAGCAAGTGTATATTCATCAAAGTTACTTCCATGACTGATGTGTTATGAGCTAAGGAGGGTAACCATATTAAGACCGAAGAGGAAATTGGTACTGCCAACACTGATATCCGTGCAACAGAAAGTGATACTAACGGCTGTGATGCAGTGGGAAATTTTCTTTATGCTGTTGTACAAGAG